ATGTTGTACACAACAGGTGCTTACCCAAACATCTGTTGGGTTAAGTGAACCATAAATTATTTTCTAGTACAATGAAGCTAGGAAAGAACAAATTGTGGTGTCAGGCAGAATCCAGCTGTGGAAGACCACTGGCAAGCTTCAGTCTCTTCATATGTAAAATAGGGCTAATAGCTACTTCACTGGGTTATCAGTAAGGATTAAATGAGATATCCTAGCCTAATGCCTGACACACAACAGGCACTTAATAAATGGTAGTGGTTATCAGTGACAGAAGTAGAACAGAGTGATTAAGAACACATACTCTAGAATCAGGCTGGTCCCACACCTTACTTTATGTGTGACCCTGGAAGGTTATTCTGTGTCTGTTTCCTAATTGGTAGGTTGAGGATGTTCATGAGGATAAAATGAGTCAATATATGTAAAGCACTTAAAGCAGTGCCTAGCACAGGGAAGAGTGTTAGGTGTTAGCTCTGATAATTATATTCTATCCTTACACTGATCTTAAGTACAGTAATACTTTCCAGCTTATACCACAAGTGCTTAGAGTAGCATGTCAGAGAAAGAGAAAGAGAAAGAGAAAAAAAAAAAGGAACAGAAAACACATTCACAGAAAGTGGACACAGGCAGAGTCATTAAAAACAGCCTGTGGAAGCTATGGAAAGCTTTTCCAAGGAACCTGTAAGGCCTCTTTGAATTGTTGCACCCTTCCTTTTTTGTCCACTGATTTACTTTACCTCTGACTATTTGTTTCAGGTGTGTGGACTGTGTTCCTTCCGAGGGCAGGGATCCTGTTCTCTCCCCATCCCAGGCATAAGATTGGGCACCAAAGAAGTGCCCACTGACAACTTGTTGAGTTAATGGGAGTGAGAGAGACAGAATATGCAAAGAACGTCCAAGAAGGCACTCTTGGACCCCACCCCACCCCTCACCATCACTACCACTACCACACCACCACAAAAAAAAATAAAGACCAAGCAAAGCAATTGCCAAGATAAATCACTTTTATCTCTATAGGAAAGGGGGGGATCTAAAAAAAAATATAAATTACATTAGTAACACAACATAAGAAAAAAGCAGGGGAAAAAAAAACACCCAACACAGAAGTCTGGATGATGCTACTCTAACTTGTTTATAAAAAGATCCTGCATCAGAAATTCACAATTCTACCCACTTCTAAAAATATATTTAGCATATACAGAAGCAGTGGGCTTGTTTTTAAATTATCTGCTTTTTTGTTGTAAAAATATATTAAAGGTGAATAGAAATCCTCTCTCCCTGCCCCCTATCCAACCCCTAGCTCTCTGCTAAGGACTGGAGACCAGAGGTAAGTCTCTTACCATGTTCTAAACCTTAGTTACTATCACCCCCAACCCCTCCCCAACTCACTTCAAACAATTAGAACATGAAAAAAAAAAAAAAAAGCACACTAGCCTCTTTGGAAAAGCATAACTCTGAGGGTAAACTTGCTTTTCATTTGAAACAACACAAAACAACAAACAGGAGGTTCTGAGAACCCAATCAAATTAAACAAAACCCAAATGGAGGCTGGGTTTCAGATCCACAGAAACTTCTAACAAAGAAACAAAGGGAAAGAGGTCTGGAACCAGGGGGATTTACTAGCAATTAGCTGCCTTTGAAAGATCAAGAGGGCTGTTAATGGGCAGAAGGGCTGGAGACCTGGTCTTGTTCACAGCAGTCAGGGCCTAGTCAGGCAGATGCCTTCACAGGGACACAGGCTTCCTCTTCCCTCCCCCTCACTACCCTCTGCTGCCTTCAAATCCCCAAGATATAGCAAAGCTAGGTGGAAACAGAGGGGAGAGAAGTAGGGGACTCACGTGCTAGGGGGAGGTAGCCAGGCGTTTTGCCTTTGGTGTGACTAGATGGAGAACAGCTTGGCCCCTGGGGTCCCCAAGGTAGAAAAAGCAAATGGGGCTAAGGGACCCCTGATTCCAAGGAAGGAGAATAAAGGCGGGGCTGTGGAGAAAAGAAAAACTAGAGACAGAGAACACAAGGGAAACCTCACATATTCCCTGTGGCCTGCATGGTTACATTCCCCAGAAGCACTGGGCAAGCTGGAGTGCGGTTGAAGGAGGGGGTAGAGGGCAACGGTACATGCCACTTGTGTTGTTGTTATTTCCCGTGGAGTCAGACCTGACTCATAGCGACCCCTCCCCTTGCGTTTCCGAGGCAGTATCACTATGGAAGTAGATTGCCC